GTTTGGTGGAGGTGTCTGTGTGTCACATTACAAGGTGCAATGTCCCCTATCAGTGTGGTGGAGGTGTCTGTGTGTCACCATACAAGGTGCAATGTCCCCTATCAGTTTGGTGGAGGTGTCTGTGTGTCACCATACAAGGTGCAATGTCCCCTATCAGTTTGGTGGAGGTGTCTGTGTGTCACCATACAAGGTGCAATGTCCCCTATCAGTTTGGTGGAGGTGTCTGTGTGTCACCATACAAGGTGCAATGTCCCCTATCAGTTTGGTGGAGGTGTCTGTGTGTCACCACACAAGGTGCAATGTCCCCTATCAGTTTGGTGGAGGTGTCTGTGTGTCACCACACAAGGTGCAATGTCCCCTATCAGTTTGGTGGAGGTGTCTGTGTGTCACATTACAAGGTGCAATGTCCCCTATCAGTTTGGTGGAGGTGTCTGTGTGTCACCATACAAGGTGCAATGTCCCCTATCAGTGTGGTGGAGGTGTCTGTGTGTCACCACACAAGGTGCAATGTCCCCTATCAGTTTGGTGGAGGTGTCTGTGTGTCACCATACAAGGTGCAATGTCCCCTATCAGTTTGGTGGAGGTGTCTGTGTGTCACCACACAAGGTGCAATGTCCCCTATCAGTTTGGTGGAGGTGTCTGTGTGTCACATTACAAGGTGCAATGTCCCCTATCAGTGTGGTGGAGGTGTCTGTGTGTCACCATACAAGGTGCAATGTCCCCTATCAGTTTGGTGGAGGTGTCTGTGTGTCACCATACAAGGTGCAATGTCCCCTATCAGTTTGGTGGAGGTGTCTGTGTGTCACCATACAAGGTGCAATGTCCCCTATCAGTTTGGTGGAGGTGTCTGTGTGTCACCATACAAGGTGCAATGTCCCCTATCAGTTTGGTGGAGGTGTCTGTGTGTCACCACACAAGGTGCAATGTCCCCTATCAGTTTGGTGGAGGTGTCTGTGTGTCACCACACAAGGTGCAATGTCCCCTATCAGTTTGGTGGAGGTGTCTGTGTGTCACATTACAAGGTGCAATGTCCCCTATCAGTTTGGTGGAGGTGTCTGTGTGTCACCATACAAGGTGCAATGTCCCCTATCAGTTTGGTGGAGGTGTCTGTGTGTCACCATACAAGGTGCAATGTCCCCTATCAGTGTGGTGGAGGTGTCTGTGTGTCACCACACAAGGTGCAATGTCCCCTATCAGTTTGGTGGAGGTGTCTGTGTGTCACCACACAAGGTGCAATGTCCCCTATCAGTTTGGTGGAGGTGTCTGTGTGTCACATTACAAGGTGCAATGTCCCCTATCAGTTTGGTGCAGGTGTCTGTGTGTCACATTACAAGGTGCAATGTCCCCTATCAGTTTGGTGGAGGTGTCTGTGTGTCACCATACAAGGTGCAATGTCCCCTATCAGTGTGGTGGAGGTGTCTGTGTGTCACATTACAAGGTGCAATGTCCCCTATCAGTTTGGTGGAGGTGTCTGTGTGTCACCACACAAGGTGCAATGTCCCCTATCAGTTTGGTGCACGTGTCTGTGTGTCACCATACAAGGTGCAATGTCCCCTATCAGTTTGGTGGAGGTGTCTGTGTGTCACCACACAAGGTGCAATGTCCCCTATCAGTTTGGTGGAGGTGTCTGTGTGTCACATTACAAGGTGCAATGTCCCCTATCAGTTTGGTGGAGCTGTCTGTGTGTCACCACACAAGGTGCAATGTCCCCTATCAGTTTGGTGGAGGTGTCTGTGTGTCACATTACAAGGTGCAATGTCCCCTATCAGTTTGGTGCAGGTGTCTGTGTGTCACCATACAAGGTGCAATGTCCCCTATCAGTTTGGTGGAGGTGTCTGTGTGTCACCACACAACGTGCAATGTCCCCTATCAGTTTGGTGGAGGTGTCTGTGTGTCACCACACAAGGTGCAATGTCCCCTATCAGTTTGGTGGAGGTGTCTGTGTGTCACCACACAAGGTGCAATGTCCCCTATCAGTTTGCTGATGCTGAACCTCCATCACCTCCATCCCTGTGCTGCACGCTGTTCCCTTGCAGCTGCCCCGTTCCCCCCCAGCTCTCAGCCCCCCCTCCTTCCTTTCTGTGGGGCAGCACGCAGAGCTGGGCTCTGTCACATCTCCCATGGATGGCAGCAGGCTTCCTGCCCCCCAGGATGCCTTTGGTGGCACTGGGCTGTGGCACGCTGTGCCGTGTGAGCGCCCCATGCGCACGCAGCTCCCGTCCCCTTTGCGCTGCCCTGGAGCTGCTTGGATCGCGGATTAAATCCAATTCCTCAATTAGGGAGCTGTTACAAATGAAACGCGTCGGTGGGGCCGTGGAGCCCACGGCGTGGCAGCAGAAAGCAGGGGGAACAGAGAGAAGCACGAGCGCTGGGAAGCAAGAGTCGCGTCTGGAAATTGAGCCTTCCTGAAAGAAACTGGGGGCAGGAGGGAGGAGGGGGGAGGAGGAGGTCGGAGCCTCTTCCTCTACCTTTTGGTCTGATGTCCTGAGGCTGCGGGGGGATCGAGCGCGTTCCCTCTAATTCAATAAGAGAAACCTCCATAAAGGCGGCCGCTTTAATGCGCGCAAACACCACCTGTGTCAGGAGCAGGCGCTGCCCATTAATCAAAGCTTCCCAATTAGCCCGCGCCGCTGCCCCCAGGCACAGCCGCTGTGGGAGCAGAGGGTGTCTGCTGCGCTTTGCAGGGCTCTGAGCCGGCCCTGCACCCCCCTTTGTGAGCATCACAGCCTGGGTTGTGGATCCGTGACAGAGCCCTGCTTGCCGTTCTGACCTCGGCCCTCCCTGCCTGCTTTGAAGCCCTGCATTCGGCTGCAGGGAGGCTGCAGGAATTGCTGGCCCGAAAAGCTGCTCTGGTTTTTTTTTCTTTCCCCCCCCCAGCTCCATCAGAACGTCAGCGCTTCCCCCCAGCAGCGCCGCAAGCCTGTATCCTCCAGCACAGCCACCAGAGGCCAGGCTCCCCGCTCCCTTACGACTTCATTTCTTTTCTAACAGGGGAAAACACGGAATTCCAAGCACGGCGACAAGGCCTGCAGAGAAAGGCGCTGCTGCACGCTGCCAGGAGGTGCGAGGGAGGCTGGAACCAACGGGAGGTAGGGCAGGTATTCACCGCCTGATGCTGCTCTGCACAGAGCTGCAGCTTCCGGGCCAGGGATGCGAATTGTTGGATGCTGAGGGAGGAGAGCGGGGCAGCGCTCCTCTGAATCCACCTGCCAAGGGTCTCTACTGATCTGACGTCGCTCACACAGCCAAGGAGTAAGCACACAGAGCAGGGCAGGGCTGAGCTGACCTATAGGAGCTCTGCAGAGAAGCACCTGGCTGTCTTGGTTGACCAACAGCTCACCAATGGTTGGACGATGGTTGGCCAATACTTGACCAACAGCTCACCAATGGTTGGCCAATGGTTGACCAACAGCTCACCAATGGTTGGATGATGGTTGGCCAATACTTGACCAACAGTTCACCAATGGTTGGCCAATGGTTGACCAACAGCTGACCAATGGTTGGCCAATGGTTGACCAACAGTTCACCAATACTTGGCCAATGGTTGACCAACAATTCACCAATGGTTGGCCAATGGTTGACCAACAGCTGACCAATGGTTGGCCAATGGTTGACCAACAGTTCACCAATACTTGGCCAATGGTTGACCAACAGTTCACCAATACTTGGCCAATGATTTACCAACAGCTCACCAATACTTGGCCAATGGGTGACCAACAATTCACCAATGGTTGGCCAATGGTTGACCAACAGCTGACCAATGGTTGGCCAATGGTTGACCAACAGTTCACCAATGGTTGGCCAATGGTTGACCAACAGCTCACCAATGGTTGTCCAATGGTTGACCAACAGCTCACCAATGGTTGGCCAATGGTTGACCAACAGCTCACCAATGGTTGGCCAATGGTTGACCAATAGCTGACCAATGGTTGGCCAATGGTTGACCAACAGCTCACCAATGGTTGGCCAATGGTTGACCAACAGCTCACCAATGGTTGGCCAACGGTTGACCAATAGCTGACCAATGGTTGGCCAATGGTTGACCAACAATTCACCAATGGTTGACCAACAGCTGACCAATGGTTGACCAACAGTTCACCAATGGTTGGCCAATGGTTGACCAACAGCTGGCCAATGGTTGGCCAGTGGTTGACCAACAGCTGACCAATGATTGGCCAATACTTGACCAACGGCTGACCAATGGTTGGCCAATACTTGACCAACAGCTGACCAATGGTTGGCCAATGGTTGAGCAACAGCTGGCCAATGGTTGACCAACAGTTGACCAAGAGCTGACTAATGGTTGACCAATGGTTGACCAATGGCTGACCCACAGTTGACCAACAGCTGAGCAATATTTTGGACCAAGGGTAAATCAGTGGTTGATCAGTGGTTGGCCGTGAGGCAGCAGTGTGCCCTGGTGGCCAAGAAGGCCAATGGTGTCCTGGTTGGTCAACAGTTGACCATAGGTTGACCACAGGTTGTGCCACGAGGGCCAAGAAGGCCACCTGAGATGCACAGAGTGCGGGCAGCAGGATGGGGAGCTGCTCCTTCCCTCTGCTCTGCCCTGGGGGGGCACATCTGAAACACTGCACCCAGGGCTGGGCTCCCCGGCTCCAAGCAGAAAGGGAACTGCTGGGGAGAGCCTGGTGAGGGTGCAGAGATGGTGGGGGCCTGGAGCAGCTCGTGGTGGGGACAGGCTGAAGGCTGAGCAGCTGGGGGAGAGAAGGATGAGAGGGGATCCTGCAGCCTGCTCTAGGAAACTTCCTTTAGCAGGGGGATGGACTGGGGGATCTCCAGAGGTCCCCTATGGATCTCTGGCTCCGTGCGAAGCGTAACCACATGCGCTCCTATTTTCTCCATGGAACAAAGCCCCACGTGGGTGAGGAGCACAGAGAAACCCCCCACGAGGGGGGCGTTTATGTGCAAACTGCCACACAGAGCCACCAGTGAGCTGTGAGTGAGTAACGCTCCTAAGACAAACGCGGCTGGGACCTCACCTGCCCCCACCGTGGCTATGGCACTCTCCTGGCCGATGATGTGCTCCTTCAGCCTCTGCTCCAGGGGGAACCTGCGGCGCTCCTCCACCTCCCGGCGACGCTGCTCCTCTTGGAACTGCAAAGGGGAGAAAGCGTTGGGAGCAGGAAGGCGTTGAGCAAGGAGGGGAGCGCCTGGTTCTAAAGGGGAGCCTGGTTCTAAAGGGAGCCTGGTTCTAAAGGGGGCCTGGTTCTAAAGGGGGCCTGGTTCTAAAGGGGGCCTGGTTCTAAAGGGAGCCTGGTTCTAAAGGGAGCCTGGTTCTAAAGGGGGCCTGGTTCTAAAGGGGGCCTGGTTCTAAAGGGGGCCTGGTTCTAAAGAGGGCCTGGTTCTAAAGGGGGCCTGGTTCTAAAGGGGGCCTGGTTCTAAAGGGGGCCTGGTTCTAAAAGGGGGCCTGGTTCTAAAGGGGGCCTGGTTCTAAAGGGGGCCTGGTTCTAAAGGGGGCCTGGTTCTAAAAGGGGGCCTGGTTCTAAAGGGGGCCTGGTTCTAAAGGGGGCCTGGTTCTAAAGGGGGCCTGGTTCTAAAGGGGGCCTGGTTCTAAAGGGAGCCTGGTTCTAAAGGGAGCCTGGTTCTAAAGGGGGCCTGGTTCTAAAGGGGGCCTGGTTCTAAAGGGGGCCTGGTTCTAAAGAGGGCCTGGTTCTAAAGGGGGCCTGGTTCTAAAGGGGGCCTGGTTCTAAAGGGGGCCTGGTTCTAAAAGGGGGCCTGGTTCTAAAGGGGGCCTGGTTCTAAAGGGGGCCTGGTTCTAAAGGGGGCCTGGTTCTAAAAGGGGGCCTGGTTCTAAAGGGGGCCTGGTTCTAAAGGGAGCCTGGTTCTAAAAGGGGGCCTGGTTCTAAAGGGAGCCTGGTTCTAAAGGGAGCCTGGTTCTAAAGGGGGCCTGGTTCTAAAGGGGGCCTGGTTCTAAAAGGGGGCCTGGTTCTAAAGGGAGCCTGGTTCTAAAGGGAGCCTGGTTCTAAAGGGGGCCTGGTTCTAAAGGGGGCCTGGTTCTAAAGGGGGCCTGGTTCTAAAGGGAGCCTGGTTCTAAAGGGGGCCTGGTTCTAAAGGGGGCCTGGTTCTAAAGGGAGCCTGGTTCTAAAGGGGGCCTGGTTCTAAAGGGAGCCTGGTTCTAAAGGGGGCCTGGTTCTAAAGGGGGCCTGGTTCTAAAGGGGGCCTGGTTCTAAAGGGGGCCTGGTTCTAAAGGGAGCCTGGTTCTAAAGGGGGCCTGGTTCTAAAGGGGGCCTGGTTCTAAAGGGGGCCTGGTTCTAAAGGGAGCCTGGTTCTAAAGGGGGCCTGGTTCTAAAGGGAGCCTGGTTCTAAAGGGGGCCTGGTTCTAAAGGGGGCCTGGTTCTAAAAGGGGCCTGGTTCTAAAGGGGGCCTGGTTCTAAAGGGGGCCTGGTTCTAAAGGGAGCCTGGTTCTAAAGGGGGCCTGGTTCTAAAGGGAGCCTGGTTCTAAAGGGGGCCTGGTTCTAAAGGGGGCCTGGTTCTAAAGGGGGCCTGGTTCTAAAGGGGGCCTGGTTCTAAAGGGAGCCTGGTTCTAAAGGGGGCCTGGATCTAAAGGGGGCCTGGTTCTAAAAGGGGCCTGGTTCTAAAGGGGGCCTGGTTCTAAAGGGAGCCTGGTTCTAAAGGGAGCCTGGTTCTAAAAGGGGGCCTGGTTCTAAAGGGAGCCTGGTTCTAAAGGGGGCCTGGTTCTAAAGGGGGCCTGGTTCTAAAGGGGGCCTGGTTCTAAAGGGGGCCTGGTTCTAAAGGGAGCCTGGTTCTAAAGGGGGCCTGGATCTAAAGGGGGCCTGGTTCTAAAAGGGGCCTGGTTCTAAAGGGGGCCTGGTTCTAAAGGGGGCCTGGTTCTAAAGGGAGCCTGGTTCTAAAGGGGGCCTGGTTCTAAAGGGAGCCTGGTTCTAAAGGGGGCCTGGTTCTAAAGGGGGCCTGGTTCTAAAGGGGGCCTGGTTCTAAAGGGGGCCTGGTTCTAAAGGGGGCCTGGTTCTAATGGGAGCCTGGTTCTAAAGGGAGCCTGGTTCTAAAGGGAGCCTGGTTCTAAACGGGGGCCTGGTTCTAAAGGGGGCCTGGTTCTAAACGGGGGCCTGGTTCTAAAGGGGGCCTGGTTCTAAAGGGGGCCTGGTTCTAAAGGGAGCCTGGTTCTAAAGGGGGCCTGGTTCTAAAGGGGGCCTGGTTCTAAACGGGGGCCTGGTTCTAAAGGGGGCCTGGTTCTAAAGGGGGCCTGGTTCTAAAGGGAGCCTGGTTCTAATGGGAGCCTGGTTCTAAAGGGAGCCTGGTGCTAAAGGGGGCCTGGTTCTAAAGGGGGCCTGGTTCTAAAGGGAGCCTGGTGCTAAAGGGGGCCATAAGAAAGAAGGGGAGGGACTCTGAGTGACACGGCGAGAGGAAATGGTTTGAGACAACAAGAGGGCAGGTTTAGAGTGGATATGAAGAAGTGTTTCTGATAAGGCTGGCGACGCACAGGATGAACGGAGAGGGGGCTCTGAGCACCTGATGGAGCTGTGGGGGTCCCACCAGTGGACCAGACGGCTTTTAGGGGTCCCTTCCAACTCAAATGGTTGTGATCTATGGCTCTACGCAGCCCTGCGGCCCGTGCTGTGGCACGCAGGATGGCAGCGACTCCAAGGGCTGCTCCTCCAGAGCTCCGCGTTCTGCTCAGCTCACGGCTCCCCTCCGCCAGCCGGGCGCGGGGAAGCCGCGACGAGCGCGAGTGAGATCCAAATAAATTAAAAATACATATGAAAACTCCCTTGTTATTCTGTCACCGGGATATGTAAATAAAATCTATGGGCCGTGCCCATTCGGTAACGGCTCTGCCAATTCATTCTGCGGCAGTGATTAAAACGAGCAATAAATTCTCAAAGACTCTCGGCGGAGCGCAGGAATTGGGGGCGGCTGCGACCCCCGGAGCGCCGCGTCCCCCCCGGTGCTGCGTTCATCACAGCTGCCTGGGCTGCCTGATGTTTTATACGCACCGACCATCATCTGCAGCAGGAATATATCTCCTTTCTCTCCCCGGTCTATTTGTTAAAGCGTAAAATCCGAGGCGTCTTTTCGGGCTGTTTTGGAGCAGGTTTTGTCAGCGCTGCGCCCTGGGGACCATTTGCCCAGCAGCGATTCCTCCTCCTCCTCCTTCTCCTCCTCCTCCTCCTCCTCCTCCTCCTCCTCCCATAAAGATCCGAAGGATTTTGAGCTCGGTTTTGCAGCCTCCCAGCTCTGCGGCTTCCCCCTTCCACCCGGCACGGAACGCCAGCGTTCCACGCTCAGGACACGGATGTGGCTCTGAGCTCCTCTCTGCCATCCTGGGGGGGCGCAGATTTGGCCACCTGGCCGAATCACTTCTCAATGCAGTCCCTGCCACCTCGCCAACCATCGATCGCCCCCAGCTTCCAAGTCCTCTTCCTCTTCAGTTTGCCTTCTTTCCCCCAGCTTCCAAGTCCTCTTCCTCTTCAGTTTGCCTTCTTTCCCAAAGGCAAACTGAAACCCCCAAGCTGCAGAGCGCAGCCTGACGTGGCGCAAGGCGGCGCCTCGTGCTCTCGTTCCCAGGGCAGCAGGGAGCATTGCCAGCCCCAAGCTGGGGGGCAAAGCTTCTCCCCACCCCGTGATGGAGAACGGCAGCTCAAACCTCAGCTGGGTCCCCAGGGATTTCCGATCCCGCACGGAAGAAGCGCTGCGAAGCTCAGCTCACCTTCGCCTCCGATGCCTTCAGGAGGTTCATCACCTCCCCCTCGCGGGCGTAATCCAGCGGCGTGTGGCCCATCTCGTTCTTCTGCAGGGGGTTGGCACCTGTTGGCAGGGAGGAAGGGAGGAGGTCAGGGAGGCCTGGGGCTCAGCGCAGCGCGTCTCCTGCGTGGCTCTGCCCTTCTGACCTCCGCTCTGAGCACGCAGGGACAACCCTGGGGGCTGCAGGGGAAAAACCCTCTCTTCTCTGGGGTTACATTGGGAACGAGGAGCCAGTCGAGCCCAGAGACGGAACTGCTGTGGGGAGCTGCGAGGGGGCCGGCAGAGAGCCGAACCTGCGTGCTGAGAACCAGCTGGTCCCAGTTCTGTGCTGGGAAACAGCGGAGCGGGTGCAAAGAGCTGGGCAGGACAAGGTCAGGAGGCAGAGATGTGGGGAAATAGGGGACACATGAGTGTGGCACCAAGGGAATAGGAGGGACACCAGTATGGCACCTGGGAAGAGGAGGGACACAAATATGGCACCTGGGAATGGGAGGGACATGAATATGGCACCAAGGGAATGGGAAGGACACA